TCTTACAAAGTTTCTAGGCTCTTCTTATGTTCTTTTTTATCTGATACTTCTATATGGTTATTTTCATTTACTAGTAGCTTCTTGTTTCTACCTATTAGTTCTGTTTGTTGTGCTACTACTTGATACTTTTTTGTGTCAAATGTTTCTATTTGCTCTATGCTCTTGTTTACTTTTGTATCTGTCATCATTGTATCTTCTGCTCATTATCTTTTCTTTGATATTATACTAAAATAATTTTCTTCATTTCTATTATTTTCTTCAATCCCCTTTAACTTGCTCTTTCCTTTTTTTATTTTCTCTTTGTTTAAACTTAACATGTAATCAACTGAGTCTAGATTTTGACTTGCTATCTTAATTTTACTGGTTCACTCCTCAATAGTTTTCTTTGATACTGTTTTAGTCTCTTCAGATACATATCTTAGAGCTTTGAATATTTGACTGTATAGTAAAAGATTCTTAGCTGTAATTTTTTGGGGATTACCAAGAGCTAAGTTTTTTGCTATAGTTTCTAAGTTACTTGGTTTCTTAGTTATAGATGTTTCCAAGATGCAATTTAATTCATTGCAGTTTAAGTATCTATGCAGTTTGTTACCTGTTCTTTGCACTTGCTGAATTAGGCTTTGTTTGTTGATTATTTTTATTTGTTTACTTTATTTGTTTGATCTATTTTTGTATTTTTGTTGTTTGACTATCTATTCTCTAATTTAGTTTTGTACATGACTTGATGTTTGTTGTTTTCTTTTGCTAATTGTTGTAAATTTCTATATCTGGAATGTAGCTGTTTGTTAGTTTTTGATGTTTACTGTTTTAATTGATTATATGTGCTTTACAATTTTTCTGAAATAGTGTGATGCCTCATTTTTGTCAGAAAAAAAAATTTTTATAACTGACTTGAAGTTTTTCAAATAGTTTGGTTTCGATAGAAGTAAATTTTATATTAAAATAAAAAAAAAAACATACTGAATAAATAAAAACTATGGCCTTTTTGGTACTTTAAGAAGGGCTGACTGAGTTGATTAGTTTGTACAAATCAGAAAAAATAAATAAACAAAATTGTTCATTCTTTACTAAGGTTGCCAACTTTGCACTAGCAATCAGACTAAAACTAGCTACTTGTGGGTTTGGATTTCTAGTAGTATTAATTCTAACAATGTTAAATCTAATATTTTAAAGGAAAGCTATATTATTAAAAAGAACTTGTAATATTGTTTTTAATTTTTTTGTTAATTTTGTTTGTTTTGATGATCTACAATTATTTATTTATTAAATCTATATACTAATATATTACACTTTTTATTTACTAAATTAACTAAAACATCTGTATCTTATAAGAAAATTAAAACTTTTAACATCTATAAAAAAGAAACTAGTTTAAATTCAGGTTCTTTTAAGAGCTTATTAGAACAAACTAAAGTTCAAATCTTAAATAATCAAGAACTAAAAACTTTAGCAATACAAGAAACACAATAAGTATATATATAACAGACTCAGAAGTCAGTGAAGTACTAAATAAAGAAACTATTGATCTTGAAAGAAAAGAAAATGCATTGTTTACATCTACTGACAATATATGTACAGATATAACAAAACAAATCAGATATGTGTCTTATAATAACAACTTAGTTATATCTCAATTAAATATTACAAACAAATAATCAAAACCAAGACAATGGTTTGATCTTTTTTCTAAGTTGGAAAGAAAAAAAACTACCTATTATACATTTTCTTTTAGAAAATGAATTTATACTAAAAATAAAAATACATTAATTTTTGAAACTCAAAATTTAAAAAACATATATACAGCAGTAATAGTCTTATAGTAATAAGACTAATAATGACCAAAGCTAGAAGAACTTATTTAAAAGTCATCTTTTCTGATAAAAACCAGTAATAGTACTATGTAGCAAAAAGAATCTTAATTTTTAAATAATCTTTTTTTTTAGGATTACATCTCTGTTAATATTAGATAAAGCTTTTTCTTAGTAAAAATCAGGAATATACCAATAGGTAAAAAAGATTTTATTTCTAAAAAATCAAAGTTTTTCAAGATATAAGCACAATTCTTTCTATTAAATCTTTGGTACACAAAAACATTTCAGTTCTTTTAGATCAATAGGTAGTTATTTTTGAGACTACAAATGACCTAGATCTAGCAAATAAAATTTTCAGATATATATATATTTGGAACTACAAAGTAGTTACAGACTAAAGAGAAACTTCAAAGCTATGCTACTTTTGTAACAAAGTAGGTCACATCAAGAAAGGATACATTAAATACAAAGCTTCAATAGAACTTAGAACTATGCAAAAAATATACAAACTACAAATATTTTAAAACAAAACCATTAAACATCAAACTTTTAGTTAAAAAACTTTAATGCAGATAATCTTTATATCAAAAATAATAATAACTTAGATGCTAATAATGTTAACAAGCAAATCTTAACAGATATGAATCTGAATAGTTATATCAATATAAATCAGTCTTAAATTAAAGCTAAGACAGCTGAAAAAGAACCAATTAAAGATATTCAAAAAGAGTTAAACAATCCTTTAATAGAAAATTACACTATAGATGCCAACATGGTAGTACTGTAGATCTGCTAATTACTCTTTATAATGGCTCTAAGGTTGCTAAATCCTTATTTATTAGCAATAATGTTAATAATAATTTCTAGCTATTTAACTTTTTTTTGCATATTATAATTATACAAGAGCCTGTAATACTATTAGTAAATAGTATTTTTATCTTCTAAGTGAAGTCAGAATATGGTTCTTTTTTGATTCTTTTGCATAGTTAATATTAACATTCATCTAAAGCTAAGAATGGCTTTTATAATGTTTTTTATTAGTAAAATATTACATTCTCAAAAAGTACTCTAAAGTGCAGAAAAATTTTGTCTATGAAACTGTCTTCTGCGCATTAATTAAAAGTTTTCCTTGTAAAATTTTGCTATAATAAATGATTTTAGACACCAATCTAATGGCAAAATCCTAACCCTAACCTAAAACAACGAAATTTTACTTAAACTTTTTTTGGTGGTGATTCTACCCTTGTTTGATTTTCTGTGTTTACTGAGTTTTGCGGCCGACTTTACGTAATTCCGGCCAATTTTTTATCACGGATGCAGAAAATCATAATCCCTGATCCTGAGTGCCCCGATTTTGTAGATAATTTTTTTTATACATTTTACAATACTCTTTTCGGAAGTTCGGGTAAATTATCTCTTTTGTGAACCTACAAGTAAAATTTGAAGTTTTCGTGCCGTTCCACGTATAAGAATATCAGTTGTATCATTCTGAATCACTCGATACCTCCATATTATACTTTACCTGCAGAAGATATAAATAATTAACCACTACTACGTTGATCAAATCTCGTAACAAAAAGCTTAATAATGCTTTAGAGAAGTGTAAAGTTTAGATTGTATGATCTTTGTTACATACGTTATATAAAATTTTATTTTAAAAAGGTAAAATATATACTGTAAATAACAGATATTAATTTCATTTTTTATTGTTTTTGTTGTAAGAGTTTTTAGGATGTAATAAGATACATGTACAGTCGCCTCACAGCATAAGACTACGTAGATTCATCAATTTTTATGAATTTAATTAATAGTACGCCAAATCGAATGAGTGAAGGTTATAGTTGTGGATATTGATATTTAATATATATCGATATATGTTGTATAATCATTATGCCTTAATATTGTAATCTTATATTAATTTACTCAATATATTAACATCATTGATTTCATAAATTTTTGGTATCTTTTTTTTTATTATGTTTTTCGTGTAACTGTGTTAAACTTTGTGAGGCGACTGTAGATACAATATGTAATACGACCTGTAAAACCAAATTATGGATATTTAAAAGGCTCTTCAATAGAATCTCTTCAATAGAATAAGAGTACATGATGCTATAAAACATTCAGGTTATTAGATATAGAAGCGAATGTAGAAATTATTAAGAGTTTTAAATAACGATGATTATAACTTAAATATAATATAGTTTAACATGATCTAAATCAATAAAGACATGCTTCTCTACATGTAATAATATTCGGCGATATTTACTTTTGAATTTTAAGTATAAATTTTAATTAAATTTCTTTGATTTTATTCGTTTCGTCGCTTAATTTTTTTTAAAAATTTGATTGACTGATTAGCATGTGACAATCATCCAACATTTATGTAGAAACCAAGCAAATTGTTTTTAGAGTTTTTTTTAAAAATTTAAAATTAAAATATCTCAACTATTAAACCAAACTTGGTAAATTTTTTTTATTTTAATTCTATAACTATATAAAAATTAAAATAAAAAAAAACCTTATCAAGTTTGGTTTAATAATTGTTGAGATATATTACTTTAAACTTTAAAAAGAAATTTACTTAGAAACAATTTTCTTGGTTTCTACCGAGACGTGTAACCATTTTCCATATTTGTGACATTCTTACCTGTAAACTCGTACTGCTAAATTCCGCTTAGCTCCGATGCCTTCCGACCCGGATTCCCCTGTATAAGATGGACAGGACTCATATTTAGTTAATCCATTCGCAACACGTTTATTAATATATTTTTTCGAAAAAAATTACATCGGAAGTTCGTGCTGAATATACACTCGGACGTTATTGTAAAAATAATAAAAATAATACTAAAATAATACTAACAATGATAATATATGATAATATACTAATTAACTTCATGAATTACTTTTCATGGATTATTGTATATGAGAAAAAAAAATAATATTTAAATATATGTTATGTTATACAAGTCTAGAGGAAAAAGTTGCAGTGAGTTATTATAAATAAATTGTCCGATGATATAACTGATGAGAACTAAATTAATATGCGATCTTGTGATGTTGACACTGAAAAATAAATGCGAAAAAAATGCAAAAACGAAAAAAAACTCTAAATGAAACCGATGTGGTGGCCATGAAGAAATGACCATTCAAATTGTTCATTATCTATAATTAGTTCTTTCAAAATGCTCAGAGCTCTGCAACTGCCGCTACTATACTGAATGACGAGACAACGACCTGTTCCTAAGCATGATGATGACATTCAAGAAATATTTATAAAATAAAATCTTACACGGATTCCGCCATTTTCATCACAAGCACACGCACTTTCTCCTCTTATTAATATTTTCCCTCTCCCTATTGGTATCCTTGCGCGTTTTGATTTTCCTCATTAATTCATTATATACCTCTTCCACATTCTGCCGTGTTTTCGCAGACGTCTCAAAATAATCACATTTCCATTCACTTGCTCTAGCCATAGCTTCCTCCTTTGAAACTTTGCGTATTTGAGCTAAATCAACTTTATTTCCAACAAGGATGAAGGGAATCTAAAAGAAGTAAAACATAATATATCAGAATTCAAAGCAATCTGCCAATTTAAAAAAAAAAGACTAAAAAAATATTAACGCTAACGACAGAATATTGAAAAATGTGTTTCACATATCAAGAACACATACACTTTCATCATCAATCACTCTAGAAATCTGCTCTTTAAAATCTTGTGTGTGTACAAATGATTCGTATTCACAAATGGAAAAAACACAAAGGAAGCCTTCGCCAGAACGATAATAGTTATCACGAATCTGTTACGTTTGAAATCAGTTAAGAAAATATATCAACTGCTTTATAAAAATATTGTCTATATTATCTATATTATGTAACATAAATTGAGCTTTATCTAGAATCAGTTGTTGAATAAGTATTCGAATTACGTAATCATCAAAAATGCACAGCATTCAATAATTAATTTTATAAGTTTAATTGCATTATAGAAGGATACGGCAGCATATTCTTCCTGTCCAGCAGTGTCTAAAATGTCAATTTGACATTCTTGCCCATCTAACAAAACTTTTTTACGATAAGAATCTGCTTTTGTTGGATCATATTCTTCAACAAAGTCACCATACATGTACTGTAAAGTCAAGGCAGATTTGCCAACGCCACCAGAGCCGACCATGATGACCTTGTGAAGTGGAAGATCTTGTTTGGCTTTTTTGCCCATTACTGTAATGCTGCTTAAACTTATAATGCTGGCCCAATCTAGATGGAAGTTATGTATTAAATAGTAAAAGGATGTGAGAGAGAACCTGCTGTCAGATTTAAATAACAGTTACAATCGTCAAAAGCGAAGAGGTATTAACGACAGATGAATAATTTGGTCCCAATAAATCCGTTTTCTGCGGTGTTCGGTGGATGTATATGGTCAGAAGCAACGAAAAAGAGGGAGAAAAATTGCATAATAATGAAGAAGGCACATACAAAGCAACTCATACAGATAACACCTGTATGCGAAAATACTTTACACAAGGATTGGTTACAAGCGGACTGATCGTTATGTGGTCCGATTGGGCTGATGTAATTCATGCAGCTAAATCAAATTTGGGAGAACAAAGCAATGGTTAACAAAATACTCTGTATATCGATATACCGTATCGGTATGTTACACTCAGGGTTGATAAATTACCGTAATTTTAAAATTTTTTGGTTTGGTAAATTTACGATTAGTATGTCAATTATTATAGCCAATAGAATCATTAGCTTAAGTATATACAATATGCTGCTATAAATACTACATAATTAATAATTATAGTATTTTAATATGATTAAACTTACTATTATATTAATATGTATTACTAAAAAGTTACGATTTTTTTTTTTTTTTTTTTATCTCTGGTGTTAATACCTAGAGGCGCGTGTGGTGCTCTTTTATTAAAATCAAATTATTAAGAACATTGTATATATTTATATATTTTTTTCATTTTTTGTAAACAGTTTTTCAGATTGTAGTACAGAGTATGTATGTTTTTGTGGAAACATTTAATTACTATTAAGAGGAGAATTCTGCTTGAGAGATTGCTGTCTTCTTATTTGAAAGAAGTGTAAATGCATTATATTTTATACATTATATTTGTATGTAGCCAAAGAGTAACTTGTTTGCTTTTGTTATTTGTAATGTTTGTTGCTATAAAAATTTCTTCTATAGAGGTTGGAGAGGTCTTAGTTTGGTTAGTTTTTAGAAGACTGTAGGCCTGTTTTCAGATTTCTTTGCTAACTTTGCATTTGAGCACAAAGTGTTTAGTAATTTGTAGCTCATTATTACATCAGAGACAGCTTCCTGTAATAGAAGGGTTTATATTTTGTAGTTAGTATCCTAATAGTAAGGTTTTATGAAAAAGACATCATAAAATGTCATTTTTTTTGTTAGTTGTTTTTTTGACCAGTGTCTGATTAAGTTGTTGACTAGGACTAGGTAGTTTAAATATCAATTTCTTTCTTAGGATTTCAATAATTTTCTTAACTGAAAGTTCTTCTTTATAAAGTTTTTCTATTTTAATATCTTTGAGTTTTCAAGACCAGTTTATTGTTGTAATAACTTTGTTTTTAGCTTTTTTTCAAATTAAGAGGTATGGTTTTCATTCTTTTGATCAAGCTTTTAACCTAATTATGTTTATCTTTAATGTCTAATTTATTGATATGTTTTTTTTTTCAAATAAAGTTTCTGCAATTTTTTCTTTTTTGTATTTAATCCATATAAAGTCACTAGTAAGAAGTTTTTTTATATTAAAATTAGTCTAGCATCTAGCATATCTCCTATTCTTAAGACTTGAAGGCTATTTTGTTTAAGTGACTGTTGAAATATAGAGTATCTAGATAGCATTCGAAAGTTGTTTTTAATTCAGAATGTCATAAGTCTATTGATTTCTGCAATCTGTTTTTTGCTTGATGGAGTTAGGTATGTTGCATACCATATTTATAAAAATATAAATGTTTTGACTAAAAGGATTTTTTCTTTAAAGAAAAAATTTTGATTAGAAAATTTTTCTAGTATCTTTTTTATCCTAGTGATTGTTGTTGTTGTTTATAGGTCTTTTTTGAAAATGCTTTTTGTGTTCACTTTATACTTAAGAATTGTTAGTGTCTTTTGTTCTGTAGTTTTAGTAAATTAGGATTTATTTTCAAGTTCAATTTTGTAGACTGTATTTGTAAGAAATACTAATTTGGTTTTGTTTTTGTTAATCTTTGCATTAGATGCAGTTTCATAGATTTCAAAAAGTTACATGATGCTTATCTAATCTGATAATAAGTTTATTTCTATTGTTAAGTTATTTACATAAACTGACAGTTTAAAGAACTAGTTTTTTAAGGAAATTTTTTAAATGTTTTTTTCTAGTTGTATAAGTAGCAGTTCAAAAGCAAGCATATATAATAAGAGAAAGAGCAGATTCTCTTATCATACTTCTCTTTCTACTCTAAAAGGTTCAGACAAAACATTGTTTTCTATAATGTGTACAATTTAGTTTGAGAAAAGATTAGTTACCAAATTTGTTATTTTTTTGTTAAAGTTCATTTTTCTTAAAACCAAATTTAGAAAGTTATAGTTTATCTTGTTGAATGCCTTTTGCTAATCTACTAAAAGCATCCAGTACTGTTTTGAGTTATCTAATTGGTTTCTTAATATAGTAATTATATTTATACCTATGTTTGTTATTGATCTTTTAAAAACATATTCTTGTTAGTAGTTAGAAATACTGTAGTTTTCTTGCAGATTATATTAAGCCTATTTGCAATAATTTTTATAAAGATTTTAGTATCACAATTTACTAGTAAGATTAGATATCAGTTGTTTAGGTCTTTTAAGTTTTCTGATTTTTTAGAGATTAGTATAACTATGTTTCTGCACTATAAATCAAATAAACAACCAGTATCTAGTACTTGATTAAACATCTTTTCAAGGACTGATACTATTTCTGATAATGTGAGTTTGTAGAATTTATAAGTCAACCTATCAGTGCCAAGTGACTTGTTATTAGAAAGGTCTTATATTGCTTGGATTACTTCTTCTTGTAAAATTCTTTTAACTAAATTGTCATTTTGGTTTAGTAGTATTTGAAGAAGGCTTTTAGTAATCTTTTTTGCTGCTTTAAGATCTATGTTTTTTTCTTTGTATATTTTTGTGTATTGGTTTTTAATATATATAAGTATATCTTTATTTTCCGAACTTGAAGTTTCAGATATTTTAATTTTAGATTAAACACTTTGTGACTTTCTTGCTCTGTATCTTGAGAAAAAGTATTTTGTCGACTTTTTTCTATTTTTAATCTATTGTGTTTTTGACTGAATTAACTATAACTTAGCCATTTTGATTAGTTTTTCTTGTATTTAAAAGTTAAGTTCTTCTATATTTTTATTAAGGTGTTTTTTCGAAAAGTCTGCTGCAAGCTTCTTGTTTAACTTTGTAATATCTTTGTTTAGTCTTATTATTTTGTTTTTAGAAGCTTTGGGTTTTTGAAAAGCTCTGATAATTGATTGTATATAGATTTTATATAAATCTCAGTTTTCTGTTAAGTCAGCATTCTGAATTTCTTTTAGTACCTCTTTTTTTAGCAATTCATTTTTAAAAGATTTTTTATTGAACCTTCAGACTGAAGGCTGTTTAGAATTTTGTTTGAATTCAAGTATGTATCTTACTAGAAGGTGATTTGAGTTACAAAAGTGCATACTAACTTCTAATATAAGGTAATTATGATTCTCATCTATAAAGATGTAATTTAAACATATAGCATTGAGTAGTTATTTTGTGTTTTTTTAAAAAAAAGATAGAAAGGATTTAGTGCTTGATATTTCTGTTATATTAATAAATTCTTTTGTTAAATTAGAAAGCTAGATCTTAGTTAAGTTATATTAGACTGTTGCTTGACTGATTCTGTTATTTTTGGAATTACAGTGGCCTACCATATAAGTGTAGACACTTTTTAAAAAATTATAACAAGCTAATTAAAAAATATATTAAGTTAAAAATAATATTATATATTTATTAAATATAAAATTTTTAAATAAAAAAAAATTATAAAATTCTATGTAATACTTTTTAAAATAATTAAGATTAAATAAAAAATTAGATTTTTATAAATGTATAATTTACTAGTTTTTAATAATTTAATTTTTATATTTAATAATAATATTTAATTTAAA